TTAACATCCTATCATGAATTCCACAGGTGTTCCTCCGACTCCGTCTGTCACTGCTGCATAATTGAAGAGACTCCATCTTTCTCCATTATCAACAAGACTTTATCCCAGCTCTGCTAAGCTTAGGTCTAGTGTGTGTGTGTGTGTGTGTGTGGGGGGGGGGGTGATAGTCTCTGTCTCACAGATTAAAACATCCATTACACACACACACACACACACGTCCACCATTTTGTGCAGCGTCACCCCTCAGTTGTCCAGACCTGTCACAGTGATGATTACTTACTCGTTGTATCTGTGCATGTTTATCGAGCTGAAGAGTTTCTTCCTCCTGCAGCCGTGTGAGGAAACACTACGTTTTTTAATGATGATCTCTAGAAACAGTCACTCAGCACTCAACAAGATGGACGCCGGACCGCACAGTGTGGGCGCTGACCTGCTGGAGACACTTTGACGCAGAAAATAGTTTATTTTTGTGTGTAACCGTAAAAGCAAAGTTATGTTGAGTCCATGAACTTCCTTCACTCACAGTCAGCGGGAGCGGTTTCCACTGCCGTCCATTTCCCTTTCTCATCATTAATTAATTACCGGCAGTCGAGCGTTAACGGATCCTGAATGATCGTGGCTGACTTTCTTAGGTCACCAGCGTAACGTCCCACTATTAAAACTTCATATCTTGTGTTTTATCACAGGCTGAGAGATGAACGACTGCTCACTGGATGTGTCTGTAACGATTAGCATCTTTAGCGACGTGTGCGTGTGTGTGTGTGGAGTCACAACGAGAGAGTGGAGAAGACTAGAAGTCAAAGCACAGACAGTGAAGCATCATTCTGATGTTGGATTTAATTGTTCACCTCTCAAAACACCAGTGATTCAGTCGACCTGATATAACGACTGCAGGACTGAAGAAGAGTTCTTACAGAACTGAAGCAACAAGATACGAAACATCTTTTAAACCATTTCCAGGCTTATGTCTAATAATTGTGATGACATAATTACTTTTCAAACTTTGATATGCTCCAGAAGAATCCACAGAAAATATTATACAACTGAGTGAGGAGTCGACTGAATTTAACTATTTGTATAACTTCAATTCAATTCAATGATCCGTCATTCGGCCGAACTTTAACATGACAGGATGTGAACTCATGAGACGTGACGCAGGTTGAGCTCCTGTTTCTTCAGAGGGTAAAGTCAGATTTGGTGAAAATGAAACTCAGACACGAAAGTTTAACGGCTCAATTTTAGGAATTTATGTTAATGGTGGAAAAAGCCTTGAGGGTGTTTCCTCATCTGCTTGTTAAGTTTAAAGTTAGAGTGGGAGACAGGACGCTGCACCAGGCTCCAACTCAGTCTCTTAGTTAATCAAGGGAATGTTTTGAGAGTAAAGTCCAATCAACCGATCAGCGAGAGCCGTCTCCCTTTAAAAGTCAGGAGCACTTGCATCCTGCTGTATTGTTTATAATGGTGGATTGCACAGGTCGTTAAAGGTCTGTGAGCGTGCACATGCTCTTCAACTGCCTTTAGGTCTGTTCAGAAAAACAAAGAACCAGCGACGCCTCAGTGAGACGTTGACGGGAAAATGGTGAGACGCTCGTGTTGCTCTTGCACCAAGTGTTAGATAAAGAAGTTAGATGTGTACAGGTCGGATGATTCAGAGGAGTTCCTCCTGAACCTGATCTTTATCATCTGGGTCCCTGCTTCAGCCTGAGACGGTCGTCTACATACAGATTTCATTCGAGGTTGTGAAAGAAAGTAAATCCGTTTTTTTCCAAACTTCTCATCGGTCACATAACCACGGCAGCGTGTGCATGACGCTAATGAGGCTGATGTCCTGCAGAGAGTCTTCAAAAGGGATTGCGTCAGTGACAACCTTGTTATTCAGACATCACACTGAAAACGTTAGGCATTAAGAAAAGTCATACAACTACTTCGGAGCAAGAATTGCACAGAAACAATCTTTTCTTACCTTACGTTGCCAAGGTTTAGGAAATGACTGTCAAGGAGGCTTGGATTCTGCAGAGAAGAGAGAACGGTCATTGTCCGATAGAAGCAAAACAGATATTTCTTTATTGTACATGAGAAATCGAAACAGCAGCTTTAAAGAAAGACAGTTCTCAGCAGGGGTTTGTTATAATTCATAGATGTGACTTTCTCTACTTAAATGATTCTCTTCAAACACTCGTTAAGAACCTGAAAGGTAATTGATTATAAAACGTATGAAGAAATGAGCTGTCGCTGGTGGCCACTTTGAATTAGAGGGTGTCAACGTTTACATTTGTAAATATATAATGTCATGAATTATGTGATGAACATAAATGTTTAGTACTAGTTCAAATACACTGTGCATGATTTGAAGGATTATTACCTTCAGCGTATTGTAAATCCACGGAGCAGAAATCTTTTCCGTCTTTGCCCCGGCTGCCAAATAATCAGCTGTCGATGGCGCCTGAGCCGCTGCCACCTCTGTGACACGCCCGGCCGCCTTTGTGCTCTTGATTTTATCAAGTTATCAGCAGCCTCCCTCTGGTCTGCACACAGTGCAATTTACCTCAATCCCCGAAAAAAGGCAAGAATGATGTTGAGGAAGGTGAAAAAAGACAGACATGGATGTAACGTGACTCCATTTAGACTCTGGCAATCAGCTCCCAGAATCAAGGCAGCAGTCGATCCCCACCCCAGGCTCTCAGCGTGTAAGACAGAGCAGGGCCTCGGTTAACAGAGGAGATCTAGCAAAGCTCACTCCACCAAGAGAGAGAAGTTTCACTCCCACTTTGACTCACAAGCTTCTAAAATTGATCTTGTTGTTCTGGTTTGTTTCTGCAGTTCTGCAAACGCTCCTCGCAGCCTCGCCAGGGAAACGTGTGCGAGTCCAGCTTTGCACACTGCAACATCTCCGCCGCCGTGACGCCGTCCGGCAGCTCCAGAGGCACCGCAAAACATCACAGGTAAGACATTTCCACACGGAGACACATGCGGGTGACACGTTAACACCCTGCAGATGTCTGCTGTGATGCAAACAATAAGCAAGTTCAGCGTCCGTTCCTATAATCAGCCGGGACGCGGTGAGGAGAGAAATTGAATTATGCACATCACGCTGCAGCCAAAGCTAATTGCTGATTTATGGAAGAATGATAGTAATTATAATTAAAGCTATAAACATGTTAATAAGCGTAAGTTCAACAGTCGTGAACACACAGGAGATGGGACACAGATAAGACGGGAAGCAAACGCACGGGAATTCATGAGCCGGCGCAAACATGGAAATTCCAGTAAGATACTTTTCTCACACTGCTCAGTTGTGTGTTGTGTGTTGTGTGTTGTGTGTTGTGTGTCAGAGCTTCCTGGGCTTTGGCCTGTTCATCAGCAGCAACACAAACACACACACTCACCACACAAGTGCCTACTTCAGAGGTTTGATTGACGAAGCTGCAGATTAACGACGGGTATTCAGTTTATTTATATAGTTTGTCGGAGTTGTTTCACTGTTTCCATCGTATATGCAGCAGGTGAGATGTAGACCTCCGCCCACCCAGGTGTGTGAGAAAGCTTCATTTTGGATTTAACATGAAACAAAACCTTATTTAAACCGTCTGTTGATCCAGGACGAGATGAAGAAACTCTCATTTCGACCTTTGTTCTCTTTCATCGCCGCTCGCTCACACCGGAGGGCCTCGCAGCAGGCCTGTGATTTTCTACCTCTCACCACGAGCAACTCCACAGCAGCCGAGGGTTAATCACCAGTTTTCAAGGGAATCCAGGCGTTGTATGAAAGGAGACTTTTCCTGGATGAACCAGAAACACGATCAGACAACCTCCCAACTACAAAGTCTCTTCTCTAACCTTTTGGCCAAACTCCTGTTTCCTCCTCCTCCTCCTCCTCCTCCTCCTCCTCGATCTGTGGATGATTTGGCAGGAGGTCCGCTGCTCTCAGCACTAACGACATTCTCATTTGGTGATCGGGATTTATTTGTTTGCAGTCGCATCAGCTTATGCATAGACTCGGGCATTATCATGAGAATAACAGACAGTGTCAGGAAACCATCGTCCAAAATAACCAAAGAGAAACAAGCCAAGGACAATTCTGTGTTTCAGAACAATCTGGTTTTATTGAGTGTCTTCCAACAAGAAGAGCTTCCGGCCTTCAGAGGAAAATCTATTCTTCAAAACTGTTAAACGTGACCGAGGTCTCCGAGCCAGGACACCGTGAGGGGGGGGGGGGGTCCCACATCAAACTGTAGGAGCAGCAGGAAGATGTTAGAGTCACGAATCAACAGTTTTCTTAAAAACCGTTCAACCAATAACATCAAAAGTTATTATTAATGACTCTGATCGTCTCCAGAATCATTCATCTACTTTCCACTGGAGGAACTTTTGGCAGCGAACCTTCTCCCACTACGCCAACTTCCCAGCATTTAATCTGACATCGGTTCTTGACGTTTGTTACGAGTCAAATCCCTCTGTGTCCCCGTGTGTCCCGTCCCTGTCTTTACTGGAACAACACATTTTGAAGCTATAAATCTAAACAGATATCTAAATGTGGCTGACTTTATTTGATATTTTCATTAAGATCCATTAATTATTCTCAGTGTTGTGGATCTGACTGAATTCTGTCTTTTCCCATGTCTCTATTACGTTTCAAGGGAATCTGTAGTTGTTGCGTAATTCTGCTGCTGCAGATCCTGAGTTCACTACCTGCGCTCTGGGAATATTAGCTCGTCAGTCTTTACATAAATTCAGCCGGATAAATCCTTTAGGCTCATATATATTGATGCAGACATCACTTTAGAGATTTTCACAGGTCCACAGTTCTGGACTCACTCCAACACTGGCCCTGTGGAGGAGAATGAATTAAATGTAAAAGCAGCGAGACTAAATCCAGACGACGATCACGAGCAGCGATAAAAATCAAGGAACACTTTACGTCTCGCCTTCGACTGAACTTGTCTCCGTCCCTTTATGGATCAGATAACGATGATGAGTCTTCGTTGATATTAATTTCCAGCTTCATATATAACATCATATTCATGAGATATACATTTTACCACTTGATAACTTCTGCATGTTTTTTATTTTATTTCCATAGAAGTGGCTCCTTGTCTCAGAGCCCAGACCAGAGAACCCGGGCAGCCCATTGGTCAGCGTCCCGCAGGACCCCGCCCATATCCAGAGGACGGCTAAATCCGATGGGAGTGTCCAAGTTTTCGGGCCCCGCCTACCAACACCTGCAGGAAGTGGACTCCACCGAGAAGGAAGCTGAGGCACAAAGACGGTGAGGAGAATCTCCTGAGGGTCTGATGGTCGATTCAAGATGTTTGGTTATTAGAAGCACTTCAGAGGTTCCTTAAAGAGACAGGAGCTAAAACCAAATGCGAGACAGAGGCTGAACAGAGGAGCTGCAGCGATGGACAGTGTGAGGAAGCTGTTTACTGACCATGTTAACCGTTTACAGCAACAACACACATTAACACGAATCCTCAACCTGAAGTATCAGACACTTTTATTCTTTTAGAGTGTTTTAAGAAAAACAAGAATCATATCTGGTCCATGAATGTGAGCAAACTTTGATATTTATTTGTATTGACTGTGTCTGATAAAGTCTCTTTCAGATTCTGACTCTGCAGAGAGAGTCACAGATGTTTTAGCTGTAATTACATCGTTGAGATCCTCAGCTCCTTCTTTCTTTTTATACAGGACGGTCGTGGACAAAGCTTTGGATATTTGACCAACACTCTGGATATTTTCTCTCTCCCAGGAAAAAAAAAAGAAGACAGCATTTCTTTTTTAACCTCCTTTACTCTCCCTCGTGTCTTTGTTTTCCAATCTGCTGAGCAAAGATAAAAACAAGGTCACGTCATGTTGTGGTCTGCAGCAGTGGCACCAGTTCAAAGCAAATGCTTCGTCTGGTGCTTGTGCTTTTGAGGACATGAAACCGGCTGCATGTCCTCGTCTTCCTGTCTCTCTCTCTCTCTCTCTCCTTCGGTCTCCATCAAATTCTGATTCTCTGCTTTTGACTGAGAGGAGGAGATCAACAATAACATCCCAGCATTCAAATGAAAAGCAGACACGGTTGCTCTGCGCTGGCAGAAGTGCATGTGCCGCAGCCAGGGGAAATGCAAATGATCAGTGGAAACGATTAGCAAGAAGATGCATTCAGTGGGAACGCCGCTGTGCTTTGACCCACTTCTTTTTTCTTTTTTTTTTTTGGTGGGTCATGAGTCAGTGCTTTAACCACCTGGGCAGGCGAGCCTCACTTCAGGCGCTCAGGTCCCAGCAGAACCAGCTCAGGGTAAAGCTCCACATGACCTACATGCATACTAATAGAAATAAGAAGAGGAGACTCCGGTGGAGAAAGATCCCACTCCCACTGATATTTGAATCACGCGTGTGAACAGCGTGCAGGAGGTTCAGAGGGGGTGAGCACCTCTGCCTTGTGTTCTCATATTCTCTTTTGTGTGAAGCATCATTTAAACCTTCAGACTTCAGTTTTGTCCAAATGTCATTATGGACGGTGTCGGGATGCGTCTCTCCTCACCACAGCTGCTCTTGAACCACCCAAGGTCCCGTCTGTTCCCCCTCCGGTCCAACTCACGTCTGGTTTTAACATCCGTCCTCGGAGGTCTGATCACAAGTGGTCAACTTTAGGAGCTTGTTATTGGGTCGCTCAGGACTGATGTTAATTCCTTCTGGTTGCTGCAGATGTTCTTTGGCCCCTCTGGTCATTCACAGTCCCCATGAAGCCCCTTTCCAATCGGGTTTAAAAAAAAAAAACTCTAGCTTTTGTCTGCAACAGGAATGGATTCAATCAGCGTTCACTTTTAGGTCAAATGACACAGACTCCTGTTTTTTAAGCAGGTTTATCTGTGTTTCACCTGTAGACTTATTGTGGTGTAAATGAGAGACGTGTGAGCGTCTGGTCAGAATTCTGGGAGTGTGACGTCCCGAATGAACTTCTGCTCAGAACACGTGACACAGAGACACTCCAAGCTGGAGCAGCTGTTTACATCACTTAAATAAAAAACACTCGTGCACAGATGCTGCATTAAACTCAGACATAAATTTGTTCTGCAGAAAGGCAGGAGGTCATGTTTACTCACTCACACACACTCACACACACACTCACACACACTCACGCTGACTGACTCACTGACCTACACACACCAAGTCAGTCACTTACTCACTCATTCACTCTGATGTGACGTAAGATTTCACAGAAACAGCAGATGGACGCGCAGACAACGGCATCCCTCTCCCTCCCTCGGCGTTGCCATGGAGACGTTTGACCGTGACTGCACAGAGACGGAGGCAGAGATGCGGGAACGGAAATAGAGAGAGAGACGAGAAGTTGGAATCTGTTCTGACACGGAGGCGCAGCGTTTTTAGAAATAAAGTAAAAGAAGGAACAGAAACCATCCGGCAGCGGGGCGAGGATGTGATGGAGGATTTTGCAGATAGCATGTGACAGTTTTAAAGAAAAGGTTGCCCGTTCTATTCCGCGCCTCTTCGAGAAGCCCAGTGTTATCTCAACAAAATGGCGTTGTTACGACTGTCTTAAGATAAAGCTGTCTCCAAACCGGCTGACGGAGACACTGCAGCTTTTTTTTTTTTTTTTACTAACTCACCAGTTTCTCTCTCCCTCGGTTCGTTCAGCGATAAATTACACACACGAACGCAGCTTCTGTCCACGTGTGGGCGTGCACACTCCCACAGACGTGTAAACGCTCGTGCTTTGCTTCTCTGCAGTTACAAGGTCACCGCATCGCATTACACGTTTCACTTCAGCAGCACACAGATGAGATCTTTTGAGAAATTATCTGCAGGGGGGACGGATTAATAAAATGACTGTTAACACATGTAGATGTAATGAGCTCCTGTAAAAGATAAGTGCCCGGTCACTTATCTTACCTCACTTGCAAACAGTGTTGGTGTAATACCCCTCCAGCTGCTCCCGCGGCGCTCCGGGCTCTACATCTGAACTCTGCTTCACAGATTCTCGCAGTCTGATTGTGTTTCAACACATCAAAAGAGAGATTTGTCTCTGAATGTTATCTTGGGAATTAGCACCCTCACATCATCCTCTCTTATCGCTCAGGGGATCCTCTCCGTGGGCCTTGCTAAATCTCTGCGGTGGTTTTCAGAGAGGTTTTTCACGTCTTGGGAGAAATACTGCGGCGATAAAACGAGGATGTGATTTCCTTTGAGTCTGAAAAAGCACCTTCTCCACCCACCCTCTATTTTCACACACACCTCGATGGAAGATTTAAGTGTGTGTGTGTGTGTGTGAGTGAGGGAACAGAAGTTGAATATTGACACGGCAGAAGCAGCCATAGACTTTGCAGAGGATTATGAATTATTACATAAAGATAATGAGACGCCGCTCGAGAACGCAGCTTGATTCAGACGCTGATAACAATGGTCAGTCTCACAGAGATTATGTCTGGGCTCCAGTAAATTGGATGAACACACAGATTTACTGTGATGTTACTTCACAGGACTCAGAGATCGGTCTTCAAATATAAAACACTGGGTCACCAAGTTTATATTTGCACTAAGCTCGAAAGATCCAGCATCGTGTGCAACAGTTGGGACGTGAGAAGACACAAGAATATAGTGATTCAAGAATCATCAGTGTTTTTAAATTCTCTGATGTCACAGGTTCCCCATCAGACACATCATTTAAATGTCAGGGGGACGGAAACCTTGTGTTTGAAATCGGGAGGAGGAGCCGGAGCGACGTGGGCTCATCAGCTCGAGAAAACAAATTCTACTCATGAAGTGGAATCACGGTGGAAATAGAGTTGTGTTGTGTTCATGGATCGTCAAGCAACAAGTCAAAGTATCATCCAGGAAATTTGTTTTTGTGTCCTGGACTTGAATTACGTGTCATATATACAGTTGCCTGATATGATCTCCACCAATGACGTGATGTTTTTATCAGCGTTGGTTTGTTTGTGGAAGGGTGTGGTCCGGGAAGAGCTGGTTCTGGATCCACATATTTTTTTTATTTCACTTTCTTTGCACTTTTTTTAAAATATTTTTTATTGATTTCTCAAAGAATAATTCATGTTTATGGGACTAATTTGGTCCAGATCCACATGAATATCCTGATCGGGTGAATTTAAATGTGGTTTCATGAGGAGATGGATTTTTTTGCAATGTGATTTAAATGTAACTCGATGTTTTGCAGAATCAGCTGATATCAGCATCCTTCTGTCTGTTTCTGTCGGAATATGTCAGATCAGTAAAAACCACTGGTCTCACTCAAGGTCAGAATATGGAACTAATATTATTTCCCCTGTGTCTCTGGGTTGCAGCAGTGCATGTAAACTAACGTCCCTGTTTCCCTCCTCGTAATCACTTCTTCTTCTTCTTCTTCTTCTTGTGTGAATGCGAGTGTTCAGGTCGGTTCAGTTGACCACAGGGACGTTAAGAGCTACAGAGAGACAGAATGAGCAGGACGCTCAGAGCTGAGGTTGTTCCAGAATCAGATCAGGCAACACACAGCGAGTAGACGAGCATGTTGCAGGCGAAGGTGCGACCGAGGCCCAAACCTGTCACGACTTGAATCAGTGGAGTTATTCAACCACTGACGGAGTTTCAAACAAAGCAAACGGCCTTGACCTAAAACTGGAACTGCTTCGTTAGAATTAACGCACGTGGCGTCTGATCACAGCAGTCGTCCTTGACCGACGCCGAACGCCTTAAACTTTCAACAACACTCTTTATTTTCAGCGTGATTAGAGTCATTAAATCAATAATATAAAAAGTGAACTTGCCGTTACCTTGCACTTATATAAAGCAGCAGAGGGGTTTTTTTTGGGGGGAGTTATTTAGTGTGTGCGCAGACTGGGATATAAAGAGATGAAAGAAAGACGTCAGGCTCATCTCCTTCCCTTTCAGCATCCTCAGTCAGCCTGTGAAATGGCAAAGGGCGGAGAGCTGTCCCTGTGTGTATTCTGCCAGGGTTTCAGCGTGGGAGTTTGAAAAGACGAAGGAGTTGAAATCGGTCTGAAAGACGGAATGACTTGTCCTCTCAGTGAAGTTTTCTCCAGTTTAATAACATTTGTTCCTTCTCTTGTCTGTTTGTCTCCGTCTTGTCCGTCTCTGGTCCCTGTGTCCGTGTCCCCCCAGCTGCCAAACGCAGGCAGACGACCCGGGCGACGACCCCGGACGAGACGCCTGCCTACATATGCAAACTCCTGTTTCCATGGAGACAACGTCGCTGTCACCTTGGAGCGGTCGCTCCGAGGTACGTTCCGGCCCGTGTGCTCCCTCCGAGTACGATTCGAGTCCCGCCACCCGCAGCCTGCGGAGGCCCGGCCGCCGCCAAGGCCACTCTCCGCCTCCTCCCTTCCGCTCCTGCTCTATCCCAATCATCCCCTCCGTCCAGTGTCACCATGACAACGAGGTGTCGTGTATGCAAACCAGCGTCACTCTGGCAACCGCCTCAAAGTCTGTCCAGTGCGGAGCCACGCCCTGCAAGGCCGAGAGGAGAGGGAAGGCGGCACACGTGGAGCTGTCGTCTTCTTCCTGCTCGTCCGTCGTCGGCCCGCAGCAGGATGAGGTGGCGCTGCTGCTGGAGGAGGCGCAGGAGCAGCTCAGGGCGTTGGCGCTGGCTCACAGGAAGCAGGAGGAGGGCGGGGTCAGCGGAGTGGCGGCTGCGCCATTGGAGGCCAGAGAAACAGTTTGCTTCCTGAACCTTAACGGAGGAAGCGCTGGCGTGCTGAGCTGTAACGGACCAACGCAGACCCAGCTCCTCAGCCCCAGCCTATCACACAGAGACCTGGGCCACGCCGGCCAATGAGAGGACTCGATTTAGGACATTCACCTTCGGTTTGATAGTGTTTGACGGACTGCGGTGTTCTGCAACGGAAATGCTGAGTTGAAAAAAAAAAAATGTAATATGGAAATTCTGATGATATGCATAACGTACGGATACAAACACTTCTGGAGCGGCCGACTGACAGCGCGGGAAAAAGAGAACAAAATATTTACATGCATTTATTTACAAAACAAGAGAAACACTTAGACAAAAAGAAACCAAATAGTCTGTCAACTCCATGGTGTTTTTAA